GTGTGTGTGTGTGTGTGTGTGTGTGTGAGTGTGTGTGTGAGTGTGTGTGAGTGTGTGTGTGAGAGTGTGTGTGTGTGAGTGTGTGTGTGAGTGTGTGTGTGAGTGCGTGTGTGAGTGTGTGTGAGTGTGTGTGAGTGTGTGTGTGTGAGTGTGTGTGTGTGTGAGTGTGTGTGTGTGTGTGTGCATGCGTGTGTGTGGAGTGGGGGCTCCTTGTCTATCCACCTGGGGCTTGGTTGGTAAAACGAGGGAATTGGGGTATCATGGTTTTCTGACCTTCTCGGAGCTCCCTCAAGCGCAGCCCTGGGAACCCCAATGAGTGGTTTGGGGCATTCCCCCCCAAGGCTAGAGCAGCATGTTATACTTTGCTTACAAGTTTGGTTACTTAAAAAACTTCACCCTAGGGGCTGGGTCTGTGGCTCAGTGGTAGAGCGCTCACCTAGCATGTGTGAGGCCCTGGGTTCCATCCTCAGCACCACATGAGAATAAATAAAATAAAGATTAAAAAAAAAACAACTTCACCTTAAGATTCAGACATGAAAAGTTCCCAAGTCATGGCTAGAGCCCTAAAGGGCTTTCCAGGTTCTAATTCCCAGAGTTCTAGAATTCTGTAAGAGGAAATAGCATCTGGGGCCCCTAAGTCACAGTGCCACTGAGTGTGGAGCCCGGTGGGGAGTCATTGAAACGTACAGTGTGGCTTCGTGCCGTCTGGGACTCTCACTGTCTCCCTTCTTGCCTCCTGCCCAGGAACACACTCTCTGAGATACTTTCGCCTGGGCGTTTCGGATCCTGGCCACGGGGTTCCTGAATTTGTCTCCGTTGGGTATGTGGACTCCCACCCTATCACCATATATGACAGTGTCACCCGGCAGAAGGAGCCGCGGGCCCCGTGGATGGCGGAGAACCTGGCACCTGATCATTGGGAGAGGTACACTCAGCTGCTCAGGGGCTGGCAGCAGATGTTCAAGGTGGAGCTGAGGCACCTGCAGAGGCACTACAATCACTCAGGTGTGCCTGCGAGGGGATGAACGAGTCCCTCACGGTCCCTTTCTAGCAGAGTCCCTGGGCTGACGGTGGCCAATGTGAGCATTCGCTGACTTGCATTCTCCATGGCTTTTGGCAAATCTGCTTGATGGAGTTCAATGCCTACCATCTGTCCTATGCACCTTCCAAATTGTCCTTCTCTTCCCCAGCAATCTTTTGTCATCTGACCCCCCAATTCCCATCTCATTGCCATCTCGCCTTCTGATGTGTGTCTCCCTTCTAAATTTGCCCACTGGGTCTCATTCCCTGGTGGCCAGGCTCAGCCATGTGCTTGCTTATGCATGACTGACTACCTTAACTTTCCAGGGGATATTTCTGGCTCCTGCATCTCTTTCTCCTCCACTGCACTCATAATGGCCACAAAGTTTATCAATTAATCGCTCCCGAGACAGGCTACCTCTGCAGGGCAAGAGTTATCACACTGCTTGGGCATGCAGTAGGTATTCCCCAAATATCTGTTGATGGGTGGGCTTATGTAACAGCAACCTCCTGAAGACCCAGCAGTGTCTTGCCGGCCTGTGGGGTCCCATAAACTACAGCAGAGGATGCTTCCAGCCATGCCCCGATCATGTCACCTGAGAGCCCCCTCTGCCCTGCGCCTGCCCTTTCATGCTTCTGTGTTCAGGGCTTCACACTTACCAGAGAATGATTGGCTGTGAATTGCTGGAGGACGGAAGCACCACGGGATTTCTCCAATACGCATATGACGGACAGGATTTCATTGTCTTCAATAAAGACACCCTGTCCTGGATGGCAGTAGATAATGTGGCCCACATCACCAAACGGGCATGGGAAGCCAATCAGCATGAGTTACAATATCAAAAGAATTGGCTGGAAAAAGAATGCATTGCCTGGCTGAAGAGATTCCTAGAGTACGGCAAAGATACCCTGCTAAGAACAGGTAACAAGAGAGAATTCCCAGCAAAATTGGTTTTATATATAACTTCTTCCTGTGTAGGTGACATTCACCCTGTGCTGAGATCCGTCACCAGAGCTGCACTGTTGAGATTTGGAACTCCCTCGGATAACTTTCCCTGGTTATTTTTTTTAGCAGCAGCTTGATAAAATTTAGCAGCTCCATTTGTCATGACAGACTGGAGTACCTCCAAGGACACCTTGACTTGGGGGATCCAGTGAGGCAAATCTTTCCATCTCCTGTCACGGATAAGTTGGAAGATACTTTCGGAGGTGGGATGATTTTTACAAATTGTTCAAGAGCTAAGGGCTCCGACAATCCCATTTTGAGTAAAAATATCTGGGTTTATGAAGAAGACAAACTGAAGGTCTTTGCTTCGCTGGCAGATGAATGCTGTAATTCCATCGGTTGGCTTCTAGTTAATACAGAATTTTTCATGTATGAGCTTATTCAAGGTAAATCGCGTCAGACCGGTGCTGCAGGAAACTCCTAGACTCGATGCACTCACTCCCACAGGAGTAATCTCCAGTGGAGGGACTTTCCTGGAGTTCCAAGGAGGAGGTGTCTAGGCCACAGTTAAGAATCAGTGCTTCCGTCTAAAAAAAGCACAGGTCTTGGAGGTGGACGAGGGGAGTTTGACTTTGACTCTCCCCTTTGTAAGCTGAGTGACAAACTTATTCAAAGTGGCTCAAAGAGGGAAGCTATCCGAAGGCAGGAATCAGGAGTCAGAACGGATGAATGGCCTTCTCCACGGAGGTGGGGCCGCCAGTGCACAGCTCATATCCCATGGCTTCCCCATTTCAGAAGAACGGGCCACTCTCTCTCAGCATTAGCTACTTAAATAAATAGACAAAGCAAAGGAGCACTTAGAGGCCCCTGGTGCACTGGGCAGGGGCCGGGTCACAACCAGCAAAGAGAAACTGACCAGTACCTGCAGTTTAGACAATGCTGGGGAGGGAATTTAATTTGGTACTTGCTGGAGGAGTGTACAATCATCTTCCAAAATATGTTGTTGTTTAGCGGTTCATAATGTCAGAAAAGGGATGAGGCTAATCGATGCCAGACAAACAAAGCAATAATTTTGAGTAAAATAAATAGCATAATTTTGTCTATCTCACAGAAACGGGTGTGGAATAATGTATGTGAAACACTTTGTAAGCTGTGGAGCTCTGTTCACATCCTCAGTGTTGTTATTGTTGCCTGACTGAAGACTGTCTGACAGCTTAGGATGTGGTTGACATCTGTGGCCACATTGGGGTTTATACAGGATGCTTCATCACTAAGATATTTTCTGCTGAGCCTAGGCAGTAGGAAGAGGGGCAATGTGGGACACTTCCCGGCCTTGATCTGTGACCTTCTTAGCCTTTGTCTGCAAACACAGAGAACCTTCACTTGCCAGGCCTGCTACACTGTGGGAAAGGTGGGGAAGCCTGAGTGCGGTTGCTGTGAATTGGGATGGTTCATCCTAACCCTGTTGATTCTGTCTGATATGAGGAGCTCCTTGGAGACACAAGGGGGGCGCTAGGTGGTATGGAAAGTTCAACCTCAAGGAACTGCTTCCCACTCCAAGCCTCCTCTCAGTCTACTATCAATGACCTAATGGGGTCTCAACCCATATGGTCAGTGCCTAGGAAAAGATTTCAGATTAATTTCTTACAGCCACTGTCAATAAGAATTCCCTCCTAATGGCATTTATATTTTATTTCTAATGTTTGAAAGCCTTTTTCTACATCTAAATGTCACGCCTCAGGAAAGACAAGGAAGGCATTGTTGAGGTGAAGGCTCTTCCCTGTATCAGTAATGGCAGATAATAAGTTGCGAGTGAGGAGGTGAATTTTGGAGTTGAGCAGCAAATGGGTCCTCCAGTTGGTATGGGTGGTCTCTGTATGGATCTATGACCCCATTTCAGCCAGAAATGTTAAGGACGAACCATCTGGAAAATTAGAAGTAGTTACAAGAAAGCACAAAGTCACAAATGGACAATTCCTTGTTGTCACTGCTGAAGCCCTTCTATGATATGAATTTCTGTAGCCCTTTTGGGGACACAAGTATGACATAATCTAATACATATGTTTATATCTGATAATAAGTCATTAAGGTGTCAACCTGAGCACACAGGCATTTTGGAGCCAGAGTTGAGCTGAGATGCTGTGTCATTCATTGCCATCAAATTCGGAATTGAGATCAAGGAATACTGAGTTCTAATCTCCAATCTGTCACAGAATTATTTATCAGAAATAATCACTTACCCATATTATGGCTCAGTTTTTCTTGATACATAAAGGTATTCCAAAGGTTAACTGTAAATAATCCCAATAATTTTCCAAATACTCAAAGCTGTGTAGACAGCTTAACTCCACCTTTTTCATTTCCTAGCACACTGCCCTAGTAGTATACAATAAATAACTTTGTTATTGATGAACCTGGGTTCTGGGACAGTCTTGGTTTTAGATGTTTCCTGCAATGAAGAAAATTATTTGGAAAACCCAGTTGCCAAGTTTTAATGTTGTTTGCTCAGTATTCAAGACATTTCTATTAAACTGTAGTTCTTCCTCCTAGAGCCCCCACTGGTCAGAATAAGTCGCAAAGAATTTTTTCCGGGGATTACAACTCTCTTCTGCAGAGCTCATGGATTTTACCCTCCAGAAATTTCCATAATATGGAAGAAAAATGGGGAAGAACTTGTCCAAGAAGTGGATTATGCAGACATTCTTCCCAGCGGGGATGGAACCTATCAGACGTGGGTGTCCGTTGAACTGGATCCACAGAGCAGGGACATTTACTCCTGCCACGTGGAACATTGTGGCCTCCACATGGTTCTTCAGGGCCATCAGGGTAAGGATTAGGTGGTGGCTATCTGGAGAGTGAGAATGTGAAAGAAGATGAGCAGGAAGCCATGCCAGCTGTCAAGGAGGGGAGGGTGGATCACTGCCCAACTCAGGTGCTTTAGAATGGGTCTTTCAAGTCAGTGGGGTTCTCACACTGTTTGGTCCCAAAGCTCTTTTTTACTCTTACAAATCATTGCAGACCCCAGAGTTTTATTTATGTAGACGATACCTATTGCTATTTACTACATTACAAATTAAAACTTTTTTAAAAATGAAACACCAGAAAATACACACACATAGTCTATTAGCCATCATATTGATGAGAAATGACAGTAAGAAAAGTAGTGTTGGGCAGGGCATAGTGGTGCACACCTGTAGTCCCAGAAACTTGAGAGGCTGAGGCAGGAGGATCACAGGTTCAAAGCCAGCCTTGGCAACTTAGTGGGACCCTGTCTCCAAATGAAAAATAGAAAGGGCTGGGGATGTAGCTCCATGGTAGAGTGCTCCTGTACTGTACTGTACAATCCCCCGTACCATAAAAGAAGAAGAAGAAGAAAAACAGTGTTGGATTTCCTGATGATTACAGGGACAAAAGTCCCTGAAGTTATCAGGAGGGAAAGAACACTTGTGCATTTTCTTCATCTGCTTGCTTCCAGAATCGGAATCCATCCTTCTGGTTATGAAAGCGGTCTTTGGGGCCATTGCCCTCACCCTTGTCCTCACTGGAGTTGGATTTCTGGCCAGGAGAAGAAGGCCCCGAGGTGAGAGGTGGAGGGAAGAATTCTAGGGAGCTGGAGATAGCCTCTTGCCTTTAGCTCCTGAGGATTTTGTTTTCTGTATCTGCCACTCTGAGCTCCGTGGAGAAATGGGTCCACCCTAGTTCTGGGGACTGTAGAGGACCTGGGACAACTCTTCCACTACAAAGGGAACGCTCACTCTAAATAACGCTGGCAAGGGGAGTGGTCTGTTCTCCTAAGTCAGTGATCTGGTGATCTTGATCTGTCTTTTGCCAGGCCATATCCTTATTAATAATTACCATGGACTTCTGTGGGAACACTGCACTTTGTTTCAAAACTACAGTCATTTGTAGTTTTGACTTTGACAGTGATTTCTCTTTCCCAATCAAATGAAAATCCTTTTCCTTCTAAAGTCATTTTTCAAAACGTGAAATGTGTAAGAGTGGATACCTTTGGAAAATGGGATGTGGGATAAGGAAAGGGGGAAGGAGGAAAAGGCGATTTGTAGGACCTTGACATTGTGGAAAAAAATACGCTCATTCCTTGAGTATGCATGAAATTCCTGCTGTGTTCAAGGAACTGTACTGGCAGCTGGGAGAGACAATGAAAAAAGACAGACAGGATCCCTGCTGTCATCCAGCCTCCACCAAAACTCACGCGAAGGGCACCTCGATACATCACAAAATGGCCTTGCTTGTTCACCTTCTTCTATGAGAGTGATTATCATGTCTCGTAAGGTCATTTGCTGCCTCTGGTTGTACTAGTTGCTCCAGTGGATCACAGCCAATCTTGATCAAACCCCGTTCATGACTTAGAACCCAGTTGGGTCAAGAGCTTGGCTTTGCTTCATAGCCACAAACTTGAACCCAATTAGGTGTTGCTGTACAAAAGTATGTTAGTAGATCTGGTACAACCAACCCCTTTACTAGAAAATCAACTCAGCGGGTCATTACTATTTCTTTTATAAATAAAGTACAGCATTAATCTCAATAAAGGATAGTCGCTGAAGAAAAAAACATTTTTTTGTTAACAATTACATACCTCTATCAGGAATGATGCAGACTGAGTCCCTGTCTTTTATCTTTTATGAATTTGAGTTGAAATTTATGAAGTACTAAGACAATCTTAACTATGCAGGCTATATAAACTGTCTATGCCTGCTTCTCAGGTTTTGCTGAACATTGGACACTTTATTTTTGAGTGTGAGGAAATATATGCGTATCTGAACAAAAACTTCTTTTCCTTTCAGAGCACAATGGAGTCATTGACCCTTCCACATGCATCCGTGAATGCAGTTCTCGCTCCTAGGAACCACACAGTCTCTTCTGTTTCTCCTGCTCTCAAGTCCAGTGACTGAGGATCACGACCACAGCCACAACATGCCTTGGCATTACAGGATTGAGTAATTATGGCAGAAAGATGGGAACCACGACATTTTCTTTGCTCTTTGGCTCCACAAGGACTGTCAGCATTCAGTCTCTTTTGGTGGACTCCTTTATCACATGTGGCTTTAAGTACAGCTTCTCTCATGACATGGCACTTTCCTACACCCCATTTCTCAGTGATGATTCTCCAACCTTGGAGAATCTCAGAGCTGGAGGGAACCTTTTCATTCAGGACAGGAAATGATCTTTTACGATGCCTTAGACTCCAATCCAGTCTCCACTTAAACACCATGTGATGGGCACCTCAATATATCACAAAATTTCCCTTCTTGTCCCTCTTCTTTCTTGAGAATTTTCACTGTGCAAGAACATTGAATATCACGGGCACCTTGATTGTGACCTGACCCTAGGTAATACAACCTCACGAGTGGCCAGAAGTTTTTACAAGAGCCTGTGAATGGCCTGATCATTTTACACATAGCCTAGCCTGAGAGAAAGCAAAAGTCCCCTGTTCTTCATGACTTCTCTGCCTGGTAGTTTGGAATCTTTAAAATTATGGCCTGGTTGGATCTGTGGAGGTGGCTTCACCTTTCCTGTCTTTTGGAAATTAAAACCAATACTTATCAAACCTATTGTCACCTCCAGTGGAACTATGGAGATCTAGACCTAACTGCAATGTTTAAATGTAAAATGATAGTGTGCATATGCCTCAGAAGAAGGTTCAATTCTTTCTTTTATCCTTTTTTTTTTTTTTCATGCTGAGGATCAAACTCAGGACCTTGCACATGCTAGGCACACACTATTGAGCATATACCCTTATCTCCAGAAGGTCCAATTTTTATTTATATCTCTTCTATACTGGTTTATTATAACTGGGCTTGACTCACCTTCATACTTATGTGCTGGGAATAAAGGGAAGTCCCCTTGTGAGAATTAATCATTGATTCTCCTTACTCTTCCCAACCCCCAAAGTCCTCACCTTATTTACCTCCTGTCCTGCTGTGTGTAGCCACTGGCTCAGGAGTTGCCAGTCACATACTTGTCTGTCCTACTTCTCTGACCCTGTTCGACTGCATGTGTCAGACCTGATACTTATTATCATGGCCCCAACTTTGACATGCACCTTAGGCTTCATCTCTGCTCTCCATTGGCCCGGACTGTAACTTCAAGCGTCAGAGCCAGAGATAAAAACACTCAGTGTGGCAGCCTCCACTGTCCCCACCTAATTCCGTGGATTAACCTCCCACTGTACATTGCTCTTTCCCAGGGCCTGTTGAGTTGTATATGAGGACAGTTGTGTTTGTTTTGTTTTTAGTGTTGCCATGGGCAATTTTCATACCATCTTTTAGCCTTACACTTGCACTGAAAAGAGAATATGTATGAGTTTATTTCTGGAAGAATGGTTTCTTACAATTAGATTAGTTAGGATGTAGCATATTTTTGGTTGGGCACTTAAAGTGATACAGGTGACATAACTGTGTAGCTGTCTGACTCTCCAGCTTCATGGTGCTTTCAACAAAGACAGAATATCTGAAAGCCTCTTTGTCCACCCCAGGCTGTGCCCTAGGTCTAAAACAATAATAGACCCAAATGGATGAAGGGGTGGAGGGCAAAAAGAATGTCTGCAGTTGCAGCATTTCTGTATCTCCCCAGGGGATTTTATAATACAAAAAGTTGTAAAGAGGTGACTTTTTTTTTTTTCAGTACTAGAGAGCCAATCCAGGGCCTCACACATGCCAGGCAAGTGGCCCATCACTCAGCACATCCCCAGACCTATAAAGAGGTGATTTTGTTAAATGTCTAAAATTTAGGGCTGGGATGTAACTCAGCAGCAAAGTACTTGCCTATCTAGGCCCCAGATTTGATCTTCAGCACTGAAAAAAAATAATAAAAAAATAAAATTTTAAAATTTCATCTTACTATCAATGGTTCAAATTATACATACTACTTTTTAATAACTTTAGACTTGTCACTTCATTAGTTCATATTTGCTGGTTGTAGATGCTCAGTAATCAGAATGTATAAAATATTTGGTATTATAATCTAAATATGAGAAAACGAAGAACTGTGTTATCATCACACTCTTTTATCATCACACAATTTTGTCTTTAAATTGTCTTTACTGAATATTTTTGATCAAGAACATTAGATGAAGAACTTGTTTACGTCTGTTCTTTCTTTTTTAAAAACTACGATATATTTACTGTTTTCTTTTTAAGCACACAAGACCACAAGACCAAAACACCGTGTGCTGAGTGGCCGAAAGTGGTTTGAAGAGCAGCTTGGTTCTCCTGGCCACACTCCCCCGGCCTCTGCTTCTGTCTTGTTCCCACAACTTCCACGTTCCGACTCTCTCCTTACTTCCGAGGAACTTCTTGGTTTTTCCTCTTCTATTTTTGGTCAGGCGACAGTGTTTGCACTTGTGGTCGTGAGAAACAGCCATCCACTGGGGAAGCCAGCTGGCCATTTTCTGGCAGAGTCTGACAGAGTGCTCACACTTTATTTTGATCTCCACTGTCTGGGGTCTTTGTCCTCCTGTGTTCAGGTCAAGCGTCCCCTTGGGTGATCAGATGGATACAGAAAGTGGAGTGCCAATGTATTAAGGTGCTGTCAGGAAAACAACTGCCCAGTGGGCCAAGCGGGATTTGTGCCAGCGGGACAGTCTACCTAAGAAACACCGACTCACAGCTGGAAGAGTGCTTGGTGACCCCAGAATTGGGGCAGGGGGATTCATTTTTGCTTTTTAGTTCCTCTTTTCTGGGGTTTGCTATTTTTTCACCCACAGTTTATTCATTCACAGAATGTAATCCAGGGAGGAGAAGGGATTTTTCCCAAAGTCACACGCAATGGGCAGCAAAGCTGGAGGGGGCAAAGGTCACCCATCTCTAGCCAGGTATTTTCCAGATGACCACATTGCCATTCTTAGAGGATGATTCTCCACCGCCCTTTCTGAAATGCCTTCACCTCCTTTCTTTCTTAGGACATTCAATCATTTACCCTGATCTCTCTGCATCTCCCTTTCACTCTGGGCTCTCTTTCTCTAACACCCTTCTAGCCTCTGCTTCTCCCAAGGCCTTCTGACCGTGTAACAAATCCCCAAACACAGTGATTTCAATAATCATTTCATTATCTTTCACAGTTTCTGCAGGTCAGGAGTCTGAGCAGGGCTTGGGTAGACAAAGCTGGCTTGTGGCCTGTCAGTGGATTTGCAGGCAAAGAGGTGGCCGGAAGGAAAGTAGTGTATACAGGACTAGGGCAGCTGAGGTCCTGGCCAGGCGTCTCTCTCCATATTCAGTCTCTCTCTGTAGGTTCCTTTGGGCTTCCTTACATCATGGTGGCCTCAGGACAGTCAGACTGCTTACAAGGCATCCAGCTTCCTCAGAGCCAGTTTCCCAAGAAATCAAAGCAGAAATGCATAGCACTCACATAGTGTCACTCCTGCCGTCTCTAATTGGTCAAGGAAATCACATTCGGCTCAGCTTCAGGAGGACTGTTGACGGTTCAACGGGGAAGATGGCTGAAGTCACACTGTGAGAGGAGTTGTAGATGGGAGCCCCTCTTTGCCCTCTTAGCTCTGCCTCTGGAGCCCAGGACTTCTGATGCCATCTTTGATCCTCAACAAGAAGGTCAAGTTCCACCCAAGGGCAGATGCTGATGTCTTTCAGCTCAGACCCTGGGATCCTGAGGTGCCCTAGACGGAAGACTGGTGGGAAGACTGAGGGCGAAGCCTAAACTGAGGCTCCAGGGGTGTCGCTGAGGCTTCACTGCGGCCTCTTTCTTCACTAAGGTCCCTCTTGCTTCCCCACAGCTGGTGTGGCTGAATACAGAGAATACCAAATGCAGCCACATACCCGAGGGCTGACCATACAGAAAGATGAAGCCCTAGGTGCCACTCAGTGGAGCTTCTTTGTGAATCTTGTTTGATTACAATATTAAATTCTGACCATTTATTTTGTTTCCAGCTTGTGAACCAACCGAGGGCATGAGCAGGGGCACAGCTAATCCATCATGAAGGACGTTTGCGGGTGAACAGGGTCCCAGGCCAGGTCACATAGCTTGGCCAGTAGCACATATAGTGAATTTTGACCAGGGTTGCCCCCTCGGTGGGTTATGGAGGGCATAACCCAACATGGTAGCTCTAACCAAACCGTTAGAAAATAGATGGAAATTGGCTGTATGCTGTACACTAAAATGAATGAATTATTTTGGAAGAGAGGGGAAATAGAGGGAAAACAAACAAACAGGTCAGTTCATCCAAAATGGCAGAATTAGAGCCCCATATAGTCTATATAAAGAGTTAAAATTATCTAAAAGGCCTTACATAATCCTATCACAGTGTTTATTTATGGCGATCTATTTTAAAAATGTTTATGTAATATTACACAATCTGCGTGATGCCTTGTATGTCGTAGAAACTCACTGAATACTTCTTGAATGAACCAGTACTGTATTTTAATTAGTAAGTCTTCATGTACCAGTGCAGAAGAACAGTGTCATCTTACCAGTGAAGTCATGGAAGGGAAATAGCCCACCGGGATCATGTGTCATTCCGGGTGCCCAGGATGAACCGTTCACAGACTAAGCTGAATTCTCCAAAGTTTTCAGCAGTATTAACATTTTTTTTTTGAGATGTGGATGGACCTTTATGTTATTTATTTATTTTTATGTGGTGCTGAGAATTGAACCCAGGGCCTCACACATGCTAGGCAAGTGCTCTACCACTGAGCCACATCCCCAGCCCAGCATTAACATTTTTGTTTAATAAACTTTATATGTCATTGTAGGGTCTGTGTGTGATTAAGCACCCCAAACATTCTAGGGACCTCCCACCCCACCCCCCACATATTAAGGACAAGTATATAATTCACAGATTCTTGTATGAGGCACCACTACTCTTGAGAGCTGTAAGAAGAGGTGCTGAGATATGAATTCTCAGCCATCTTGGGGGGGGGGGATCCAAATATCTGGTACTTATGTTTGTTATTCCCAAGGCCAACAGAGCTATATAGTGCAGTCTGGGTTTTCTTTTCTGTCATTGGAGTCTTTGGTTAATGAAAGTTCTTTGAATACAAATTTTACTAATTCTTATCAATCCACTTAAGCTAGGAGGTCTATGAAGTGGCTTCTTCCAGGAAGAATTGGTTCTGTATGCTTTTCCTATTTCTGTGTTTGTTTGTTTACAGTTTTTCACTCCTTTGCCTGGACCTAACAAGGGCTTCTGCCTTTGTCTCCTGTCTGGGGTTGGGTGTGGGATGTTTGGAGGCAGAAAGTTGGGTCCCTTGGTGCTGAGCTGAGTGGCAGCTGGAAGGCCTGGAGTCCCTGGCCAGGGGAGGCCAACCTGGGCCTGAGGCAAGAAGCAGAGCAGGTCCAGGGAGGGGAACTGAGGAGAAGGAACTCCTGAGGGAACAGCCTCACCTCCAAAACTCAGTCAAGGGGAGGGGCTCCAAGGACGTCCTGGGAGGCCACCCCAGGGGAGAGGGAAGTGAGAGCAAGGGAGAAATGAGACAGCACCCGAGGCTGAAGCTGACTCTGCTGGGTTTTTTTTTTTTTCTTCCTGGGGTGCCAGAGCAGATCCTAAGGATACCTGAGCTCAGTGAAAAGTTCTATATTTTTCCTTGGGGAAATGGAGAATTCCGGGAACACTGTGAGAAGACACAGGCTCTAAAAGGTGACAATCCCAGGGATGTGTGAAAGCCTGGAATATTAAAAAGGGCAACATTTGGAGTCCTGTGAGCTGCTGAAATAGAAACCTCTCGTGGACTAAAGCAAAAAAACACCCAGAAGCATGTACTCTGCATGTTTTGCACAGAACAGCTACAAATACACAATCTGCGCATGACACTGGGCAGGAAGTTCCAAACCAGACCTAACCCCCAGGGGCTGCACGGCTGGCTGCCTTCCACCCTACTTTCAAAAAACGGAATCAGTCACTGATCCCTGAGCATCGGGGAAGAGCAAAGGCGAGCTGCTTTAATTCAACTCTGGCCTTCGCCACTGAAATCCAGATCACATTTCAAAGGTCTGTAAACTAGCCCTGCTTCATAGACTTGAAATCGGTCTACAAGATGACCTGTTTATAGAGCCAATGATGACGTCTTCAGTCTGCCTCCTGCCACAAGGAATTAGCAGTTTCTCTGCGTGGCATGACATACGTTCGATTTTCATTAAAGCCGCAAAGCGTGTTTACTCTGATTTTTTATTAATGATAGGCGATAGCTATTGATATTCAAATTAAGTTCTTATGGCCTTTATGAGTTAATCAACCATTTGTCAAACGCATGTTCCACGAGGTCTGAGACTGCAGAGTCTCGTGCATGGAGGATGTTCAACACGTGTGCATATCAACTGAATGAACCCCGTGACACCTACCAGGAGCAGGCTGTAGAGGCACAGAGCCCAGAGGCGTTCTGAAAGTGAACAAGGGCAAAAATGGCCCAGACAGAGGCTCACATCTGAGAAAATCAATTTAGAGAAGGCAATCTAGAATATATTTCAATAAAATAAACCCTGGGTTTTGTGTTAGCAGAAGAAATAACAGTTCTGGCAGTGAGCTTTAGTGGTCATGCTAAAAAAAAAAAACAAAAAAAACAAAAAAAAAAAAAACCAAAAAACAGAGATTGATAGAGCTTTAGAGTGAAATGAGAGAGCCTGCAGGCAAATATGCCACCAATCAAAGAGAGGGTGTGTGAAGAGCTGAGCGCTGTGCCCCTCCCTGCAGCAGCTGGGCTGGGCTTCCAGGACCAACAGGCAGCTGCAGTGGTGACAGCGAGGAACTCAAAGTTGTTCTGCAAAACAGTGAGCTCTAATCCTCTGTTTCCTTTTGCGCCTCCCCACCGGCAACTGCCTGATTTTCAAGAATAACTCCTTCGCTGAACTCCTAAATGCTTTTTGGCTCTGTGCCTAACTGACTTTGGCTACTCTGTGTGGTTATTCATCTGTTTCTGCGCAGCTTACCTCTGGCTAGGCTGGGAACGTCTGAAGGGCGCAGCTTGAATTCCATCTCCTTCACTTAGTATCAGGGTGATCTTAAGTTATTCCATTCTCTGAACCTCAGTTTTATCAAAACAGGACGAGTAGGTGCCTGTCTCCCAAAGTTCATGGGGAACTCAGAGTGTTTGTGTGGGGAAGCACTTTGCACAGCCGCCAGTTATTGAGTGCTCACTGTGAACTACGCACTTCACATACATCATCACTATTGCTCATGACAACTTTGCCAGTGGATATTACTATCCCCATATTGCAGAATTGGGTTTCTTAACAAGGTCACACAGCATCATGGTTCGCATGCTGTCTGTCCCCTAGAAGATTCATGTGTTGGGAGCTTGTTCCCACCAAGCTGGGAGGCGGTGTAGAACTTTTAAGAGCCTGGGCCTAGCGGGAGGTTCTTTAGATCCATGGATGATGTATCCTTGGAAGGATTAAGGCATTTCTGATAGAGTCCTTGCTAGCTCTGGGGAGAGGGTTGTTACAGAAACTTGAGCCTGTCCTCATCCAGCCTCTCTGGCTCCCTGTTTGGCAATGTAATTCCTTGCTTCTATACATGCACCCACCGTGACACCATGAGGTCTCCCTAGAGCCATGCTATGGGCATCAGCACCATGCCCTTGAACCTCCAGAACTAAATATACCTCTTTTCTTCAAAAGCAGCTTGCCTCAACTATTTCATTATAGTAATGACAAATGATCTAGCACACACAGTTAATAAGTGGCCCAAGCATGAATTAAGTCCAATTTTCTCCCTGTTTACAACTATGCTCTTCACAGAACACCATCTTATCTGTGCACAGTAGGCATCCAGTTGATGCTCAACCAAAATTTTGAGGTATCCACTCAAAATTATGCTCGATAGTGAACCTTGGGAACAAAGGAATTCAAATGTCTTTTCAATGAATCAGAAAATTAATAAAGTCCCTTATAATTTGTGAAAGACTTTTGCTTAGGCTGGAATGATGTGACCTGAATGCTAAATACAGCCTGGAGGGCCAAATGAAGTTACCCCACATTTCCTGGAAATGTCAGTGGAGCTCCTGGATAAGATTCATGGCTTGTCAATTCTCAGCAGATGAGGATAACTGAGGTACAAAGGCAAAACTGAAAACTTCTCATCTTGCAAACAAATTCTCTCTGGGTAGATCCATGGGTACATAGAGCTATAGAGCTGCAGAGCCCATTATTTATCCCATACAGCTCAGTTTTCTTATTAAACACATGAGAATATTGAGGCTTGCAGGGAGTAAAATGACTTGCCAAGAGAAGCCCCGAAACCAACTGTTGTGGTTTAGATGTGAGGTGTCCCCCAAAAGCTCAGGCATGAGACAATGCGAGAACTTTCCGAAGTGAAATGATTAGATTCTGAGATCTGTAACCTAATCAGTGGGTTAATCAACTACTTAGTTGATTAATCAATTAATGTGGCTGGAAGAGGTATGTTGCTGGGGGTGTGCCTTTGGGGACTATATTTTGTTCCTGGTGAGTGGAGCTCTCTCTGCTTCCTGCTTCCTGTTTCCATGTCCTGAGCTGCTTCCCTCCACTGCTCCCTTCTGCCCTGACCTTCTGCTTCACTAACGCCCAGAGCAATGGAAACTACGGACAGAGACTTCTGTAACTGGGAGGGCCAAATAAACCTTCCCTCCTCTGTGTTGTTCCTGTCGGGTCTTTTGATTGCAGCAGTGAAGAAGCTGACTAAAACACCGACCATAAACTTCATAACTTGACATAGATATTTGCAATATTACTAGTCATTAGGGAAATGAAAACTAAGACCACAATGAGGGATAGTTACACATTTATAAAAAAAAGCTAAAGGTAAAAAATTTAAAATAAAAGTGACCACACCAAATATGGGCAAAGACATAGAGAAATTCAATCTTTCATTTATTGTTTGTTTTGCTTTTTTTTGTGTGTGTGGGAGGTGGGATACTGGCAATTGAACCTAGGTGCACTCAAACAG